TCTTTCCCTTCGTCTAAGTCCCAAAACCTAAGAAGAAGACCGATATCCCAAACTAGTTGCAATGATCAGCTGTCAGGGCCTGCCCAAATGAGAGGGAACCATTCACAGGAAAGGGTGTCAACGACAAGGAAGCACCCTGGAATTCAAATTCCCTAAGATTCAAATTCTCTGGAATTCAAAGCTGTGGTAGAATTGAACCATAAACTCTGTGCTTATCTAGTTGCTAACCAAAACCTTCCCAGAGAAAACAACATTCATGGAAGATCACCCTAGAGCCCCTTGGAGCTCTGAATTCTATCAGTGGGATCAAGCCAGACCACCAGAAGGTCGTACAAAGGACTATCTCATCTCAACCCATTATATAATGTCATAGCTTCAGATCTGATGCCAGGGCACATGGGAAACAGGCCATGTGGATTCTGTTACTCTCTTTGTTATGAACAAATGTTACCAATGCCTCTACCATGCAGTGCCCCTTACAATAATAATAACAATAATTTTTTAAAAAGTTCCCACCTGGGAAAGCTACTTTATACTCTCATGCTAGAAAAGACTCTGTGTCCACCGAGAAACTGGTAAGCAACTTCCTTCCGAGTGGTGAGTATCAGGCACCTGACCCTGTCTCCTTTCCTGACTGCCAGAAAACTCGAGTCACCTTGGAAGCTCAGATGCAGCAGCTCCTGTAGCCCCCCCACATTGCCAACCTCCCTGACCTTGATTTCTGCTCCCCTTTGTCTCTGATTTTCTACTTGGTAATTCCTTTACCGCAGGTATGCATCTTTGGAAGCCTTCCCAGATGCTTTTCACAAAAAGGGATAGACGTAAATAAATAGATAAATAAATAAATAAACAAACAGATACGAAATCTGCTCAAGGAGCACAGCTTCGAGACGTGCGTGTTGGCAACGGAACGCATGGGGTGTAGGGGTTCCTAACCCGGGGTGTGTGTAGACGGGCTTCCGACAAACCTTGCACCGCTTGAAAGAGAATGCGAAATCACGGGGCTTTTTGCTTATAGCCACAGCTTGTGCCAGAGTCTGCAAAGTTTAAGAAGCACTGCTCTAGGACGTAGGCAGAGGAGACCAAGAAGCGTGGCCAACTAAGTGAAGCAAAGACAAGGGAGCCAGGGAGGTGCAACAGAAGGCTACGTCAGCCCTGGGCTGATACCACCAGCCCAGCACTTCTGTGCAGTTAGCAGTCCTTCTCGTCCGAGTTGGACCATCACGTTATTCATTTGGTTGCCTATGAACCTACCAGATGGCCTGCTGTAGTTGACAAGGGCCTGCTGCTGCGGCGGCGGCGGTGGCTGCGGCTGCGGCGGTGGCTGCGGCTGAGGCGCCGCCTGCTGCTGCTGCATGCCCGGCAACGTCCTTTTCCCCTGGACCGCGAGCTGCAGCGTTTCCGGGAGGGGCTGGCCCCGGGCCAGCATTTTGTAAGCTAAAATCTGAGCTCGCAGCTGATGCAGCTGGACGGGACTGAAAGGCGAGGGCCCCCTGTTGGGCTGGCTCATCGCCTGCGGGTCGCCTGGGATGAGGGTCCCTGGCTGGCTTGGTGGCATCTGCGGTGCGGTTGGGCCACTTCCCGATATAGGGCTGGAGACGTGCTCGGGGGCTCCCAGCGGAGACGGGTGCGGTGACATGTAGCCTAGAATGAAACACAAAAGGAGAGGTCACAGGCTGCCCCCCGCGACCCCGAAGGAGAAGCATTCCCGAACGTTTTGATAATTTTCTAGAACAGCACTGACGGACAGACATCTAAAGCATAGGTAAGTAATAAGTATGGGCTTTTATATAACTTAAAACTTATATATATCAAATGTATACATAATTTAAAGAAACAGGCAAAAGTAATTTTAATATATAATTTAAATCGACATACCCCAAATGTTATCATTTCAAAGTATAACAATTATTAAAGAGAGATTTTACGTTCTTTTCTTCCTATTCAGTTACGACGCTGTCTCCACTGGGACTAACCACATCTCAAGTGATGGACAGCCATTATGTGTCCTAGAAAGTAAACTGGTAGTGGCTGTCGTACACCTAAAGGAAGGGCACCAGGGGACAGTATTATTCGTTAAAAGTAGCCCGACCTGGAGAACAGAACCTGAAGGTGTCTGCTCTGTCACAGTGGGGAATGAGTCTCTCATGGGGATATTACTTGCTTTATTATAATGCACTTTACGAATAATTTGCCATGATTGAGGGCCTCCATTGTTGTAGGCACTAAGCAAGCCACTGTACATACTATTTTAGCTGAGTTCTCCCTGGAAACAGAGACTGATGGAAGGATTGAGCGGAGCTGATTTATCTGCAAGGCACAGGGGCACTGGCAGGGGTGTGGAAAGGTGCTACGTGGAAGGGACGGCAGCCAGTAATGGGTGCATGATTAAGCCAGTTGCTGTAGTGGGTACCTGAAGATTAATCTCATGCACAAGTTCTGGGATAAAAGGCACATAACTTGCCTCCAAATTATCCCAGGGAAGGAGCTGGGGTATTTACACTCCATCACTGGTCACTGGTTATGACTCTGGAGATCATTAGTCCCCGGGGACTTTGCCATGTGTGAGTAAGGTGGACTCAAGTAGACTGAAGGTGAGATGGTAGACTGGCCAGTGGATATAAGGCTGGTGGGAGCACAGAAATGGTAAGAAGAATTAGAGGGAAGTGAGTGGAGTATACATGTTTTCTACAGTCCTCACCACATCCCCAGAAGATATGTACTGTCCCCTCATTTTTTAAAATGAGGAAAGGGAAGCTCAGCGAGTTAGCGAGTTACCCCAGGTCACACAATCAGATCTTGGTAGCTCCAAGATTCAAACCAAGGTTTGTCTGATTCCAAGGCGTATGCTCTTTCCATGGTCTAATATTAATTTGGTTTTATAAAAATAAATTAAAGGCTTGAAAGTTTCAAAAATCTTCTAGAACCATTTACGATACAATATAAAAATGAGAGTAATCTGCTTCGGTTACAAGAGATCTAAATGGGAAAGTTAGGAATACTTTACTTAAGAAAGAAAAGTCAAAATGCACAAAAATTTCAAGGAACTTATTTCAAGAGATGAACTGTATAGCCCGGACAGAGAATGCCTAGAAAAACACACGACTGAGCATTGCTGAAAGGAAATCCAAGGGGAAGGAGAGGACAGAGTGGCCTACTGTAATCCTAAAGGTTATCTTCAATTCAAACTGAGCGCTAATTCATCAACTCAAAGGTGTCCTAAGACACAAGTAAAATATTAGATTAAAGGTCTTTGCCTTTAATAAATGCACCTGCATCACACTTATTTTAAAGGTCATCACATGGGTGTTTATTAGGCATGTGCTGTGTGTCTGAACCCTTGTCAAATTCGAGCCAAGACAGCTCTATGCATCTATGTGGAATCACAGAGGCCCAGGAATATCTGACCCACATTGCCTGGGGACTCATCATCATCATCCACAAGACGAGAGAAAATAAAGGATACAGTTACTTTTACCTCAGACTGCCATTTGGAGAGGGAAACAAATTTAGCCTGATCCTCTAAGACAAGAGTAGGTTTTGTTCTATCAGTTGGTGAATTGTAGAACTCCATTCAGAGTAATCCTGCCCTGAAGAGAAATGGAAAAACTGCTAACTCATTCCCCAAATCCCTACTCTATAAGGGAGCACAAAAATCACACAGCCATTAGGATTCTAGTTGGTCATAAAAGTTAGCCAAGAAAATGCCCCTGAAATCAGCCTGCAAGACAAGCAGAAATTTAAACCCCAGGATGTTGTTATTTATAACAATAAACATTTAGAGAATATCGATAACATACACTTAACTTCATCCTTAACATTCTTCCTTCTTAATGAGGGTAACCTTCACCTCCTATTTGTAATGCTGGTGCAAAATGGTCGTTTGTTCATTAGGAAAGCACCTTCCTAACACCTTTTTGACCAACCCTGCATCTACCACTGGAGGAAAAACTTCCTACTATAGTTACTGACATTTTCCTACTATAGTTACTGACATTTAACAACCAGGTGTTAAAATGGGTCATGTCTCCCGCCTTCTGGTCCATCCTCCTTCCTGAGGGCATCATCAATTATAGTTTACCCATGATAAATCACAGGATGCCTAATACAACAGACCAAAACATTAGATGATCCAATCTAAATGCAACTGTGCAACGCTGTTCATCAAATCGCTCTTTTCAGCTATGAACTCCTGGCAAGGCAAAGTTACGAAGATGAGACAGTTACATTAAGTACAGTAATTCCTTTTACCTCACATTTGCTAAGAAACTAAGAGTGGAATAAAAATCACTTTCCAGAATTAATCAATACAACAAAATTCTCCCTCAAATGTGGAAAGAAGAAGAAACTGGGGGTGGGAAAATTTGTTGCCTAGAATTTATAGGGGATGTTAATAGAATCATTCTATCACAGTATGACATTAAAAATGTGACAGTGTTTCAGCTAAAGAGAGAGAGATTTCTTTTTTTTTAATGACATGACTTGCATTCCATAAAACTTCAGGAAAATCAGAATCTAAATGATACAACATAACATATTTTCATAATTATCTTTAGTTGAGAAAACAGTGAAGAAATTGCCTGAGAGTGAAGAAATTGCCCGAGAGTGAAATACCTTTGTCTGTAGGATGACTGTGTTGATGCAGAATCTGCTCTTTTTTGAAATCTGGTTTGATTTGCTCATTTAAAAAAAAAGTAGTCAGGGCTTCCCTGGTGGCGCAGTGCTTGAGAGTCCGCCTGCCGTTGCAGGAGACGCGGGTTCGTGCCCCGTTTCGGGAGGATCCCACATGCCGCGGAGCGGCTGGGCCCGTGAGCCGTGGCCGCTGAGCCTGCGCGTCCGGAGCCTGTGCTCCGCAAATGGGAGAGGCCACAACAGTGAGAGGCCCGCATAACGCAAGAAAAAAAAAAAAAAAAAAGTAGTCAAACCTGGCAGTTTTCCTTCCCTCATCTTCAAGGGCCATTATCTCCCTAGTTTCACCTTGCCTCAGAGAGAGGCAATCACCTCTCTCCTTTTAATAGACTTGATTTTAAGTGCCAATTTTATATGAATTTTCTCTTCACACACACACATACAAACATTAAATATTATATACTTGCCTTTAAAGGCTTTTTCTAGCCAATGGACTAAAAATAAACAACGTTATCATTGGGACCATACGGTACACAATTCAGTATTTATTGAAGGAAATGGTTTTGCTTCTCAACCAATACCTTAAAATAACCTAATAGGTTGCTAGGTAGTTAAGGCTGGCAGTTTTCCGATCAATACCACACCTCTCTGTACCTGTGTGTTTATAAATGGCTTCCTACGACGGGGGTTTTTAAAGACATATGCTATTATGGAGTCTGAATTCTTTTTAGATAATTACATAGAATAAGACTGCATTATACCAATACTACTTTATTCAAAGACATATTTTAAATAACTAATTCCCCAGCTTACAAGGCACTTTACTATTATAGCGAAAAATATTACGTGCTAGTTCTGATTCCATCTAACTTAATGCAGACTTCTGCATTCCAAAGTAATTATAACTTACAGAAATTACATAAAAATTAAGATCTATTTAAAAGTGTTCACTTTTGAATACATAAATTCACTTCTCTACCTACTTGAACAAAATTTACTAAATTTCCAATTATGTGCTAGACATTGTGCCAAGTATTGGAGATTCCAGGAAAAATCATCATTCTAGAAGCTGAAGAAAGGAACTGAGCTATGAAAGAAATTTTAAGATACATAAAAGTAAAAATGCTCACTTATAATTCACGCATTTCAAGTGTTTTCCTTTGGAGTCTTCCTAGGGCCCCACTACTAGAGGTACTGCAAAGCTGGGAGCAGACAGAGCCACCACTAGCTCTGAGAATCACTGAATATAACTCATCTATACCTCCCAGGTATTAAAATGAGATTTACATTAGCTCTGTGAACACACCTGGCTCTTTAGAATTTAAGTGATAAACCTGGAAGTGTCATCTTAATTCATTCTTAACACTGGATGGGTCAAATTCCTTTCTTCCTGTACCTCAAGAAGTCCCAATGATTCAGCTTGCTTTTCTAACATGGTCAAGATTTTACAAGTCATTTGCAAAACTTACGCCTACCTGCCATCAAAATTCAGATCACAATCCAGGATCTTCAAAAATCTGCCCGAATATTAGTAAAGATGCACTCCTATGCCTCCATGACTTGCTTTTATATAAATATATATATGTATTTAAAAGCAAATACATTTCTCTAAACCCTCATAGTCAAAAATCTTCCCTTGGGTTGATTGATGTCTGATCATGGATGGAGAAAAAAATCTCACATACATTAAATTACAAAAAAGTATATACAACAACACATAAAGCATAAACTTTGAATTAGAATATCAGCACATTAATCAGTGCTGGATTAGTCATGCCCTTGGCATGCTGAAATGTCCATATAATGATTCTGAAAAGAGGTTACATTGTATCCAAAAGACTTTGAGGTACCTTTATTATTTTATTTACTTATTTGGCTGCACTGGGTCTCCGCTGCTGCTCGCGGGCTTTGTCTAGTTGTGGCGAGAGGGAGCTACTCTTCATTGTGGTACGCGGGGCTTCTCATTGCAGTGGATTCTCTTGGTGCGGAGCATGGGCTCTAGGCACGTGGGCTCATTAGTCGTGGCTCGCAGCCTCAGTAGTTGTGGCTCGTGGGCTCTAGAGTGCAGGCTCAGTAGTTGTGGCACACGGGCTTAGCTGCTCCGCGGCATGTGGGATCCTCTAGGACCAGAGCTCAAACCCGTGTCCCCTGCATTGGCAGGCGTATTCTTAACCACTGCACCACCAGGGAAGCCCCTGAGATATCTTTAATATGCCTTCAATAATGAGGAGAAAAGGCACCCAGGAGAAGAGAAATCTACCATATATTGATTTGGCCACTATTGTGGGTTGAACTGTGTCCTCTACAAAGAAATGTTGAAATCCTAACCCCTGGTACCTGCGAATGTGACCTTATTTGGAAATAGGATCTTTGCAGATGTAATCAAGTGAAGATAAGGTCACACTGGATTAGGGTAGACTCTAATCCAATGACTGGTGTCCTTATAGGAAGAGGGAACTCTGGACACACACACACAGACACACAGGCAAAATGTCATGTGGAGAGCAAGACAGAGATTGGAATGACAGATCTACAAGCCAAGGAATGTCAAATATTGCTGGCAACCACCAGAAGCTAGAAAGAGGCAAAGAAGGATTCTTCCTTAAAAACTTCAGAGAGACCACAGCCCTGCTAATACCTTGATTTCAGACTTCTGGCCTCCGGAACTTTGAGAGAATACATTTCTATTGTTTTAAGCTACCCAGCTTGTGGTAATTTGTTACGGCAGCCCTAAGAGACTAAGAGAGTCACCCACCAGCAATGACAGGTTATTCCACTGCCAGAAAAAGCCACCTTACAAAGTAGGAGTGTACAACTCAAGGGGCACGGGTGGCTCATCTTACCATCACATCTATGCTGTTATTGGGAGGCAGACCTGGAGTCTCCTTCTGGTCCTGTCACTTACCGGATGTGCAAACTTAAGAAAACAAAGTAAATTCTCTGAGCTTTAGCCTCTCCATCTATAAAACTGGGGTAATATAATTTATCTCACAAGATCAGGGTAAAGATTCTGCATGAAGTACACAAAGCACTTTGCAGAGTGCTTGGACACACGGTGGCCAGTAAAACTACTAGGATTTTGCAAAGAAAACTGCCCACATCAACCATAAAGTTGTGTTGGTGGGGATAAGGGGAGATTTCCACAGGGAAAAGAAACCGGCTGGATTCCATCCTCCTTAAACACGTTCTCTGGAAGTCATAATTAAAATAAGCAAAAGGAGGGCTTCCCCGGTGGCGCAGCGGTCGAGGGTCCACCTGCCGATGCAGGGGACGCGGGTTCGTGCCCCGGTCTGGGAGGATCCCACGTGCCGCGTGAGCCATGGCCGCTGGGCCGGCGCGGCCGGAGCCTGTGCCCCGCGGTGGGAGAGGCCGCAACAGTGAGAGGCCCGCGTATCGCAAAAAAAAAAAAAAAAAATAAGCAAAAGGAAAGATGAAAGACTGTGGTATAGAGCCAAAATCAGGTATGTAGCAGACACAAACCTTGGCTGTGTTGGTCCATCGGACTCTGGGGAGGGCCCATTCCTGGATGAGGAGGTCGCATAGCGGTGCCCTTCATGGATCCACAATGGATATCTTCCACAACCCCCTTGTCGTGCATACCATCAATGGGCTGAAACATTTACAGAATATCAGTCAGACGTCTCTTTAAGGCATAATATTTCTATCTGGTGTTTGAAGACCCCTTCCTAAAAAGTCTTCAAAATTGTGGCGCAATCATCTATTACCCATATGATAGTCATATATTTTGACATTTATTTTACGTATATTACTACTTACATAGATTTCATAGATGGGACAAAAAATAAAATGAAAAAGACTACACCAATAGGATCAGCAAAACTACCTGTGAAGTCAAAAGTTAAGGCTTTAAACAGTTGAAAGTTTTTTGGTCATGTCAAAACCTGCAAATAAAAAGGAAGTTCTGTTCACAAGGTAGACAAATATAAACTCTTCTTCCATACCCTCTTACATAAGTCCTGAAACCTGCCATAGGTTGAAGCTAGTCCAAAGTCTGAATGGAGGAAGGAAAACTCTTTGAAACGTCTGTAATAATCTACTTTTTGGTAACTTGTTTTCATCAGAAGGGAAGGAACCATGGAAAGTTTAAAAGTTGAAAGCAGAAAGTTCCAAGGCAGTTGGGAAAAGAGGGACAGACAGGGTAGAGTGGTGAATGGGGGTAAATACTGAACGGGAAAGAGGGTGAAACAGATGAAGCTATACTACAGAGGGAGGAAGACAGAAGAAGGTTAAAGGCAGAGTTTGGAAAAAAGTAAAGAACACAGGGGCTGGAAACAGGACTTGAGGCCTTGTACACAACAGACACACAATAAACAGCCATTGAATTGACACTAATCCAATCCAGCATTGGGCAATGGAGCATGTGTTTGAGAAAGGAAAAGTCTATTCCTCCCCAAACTGGAATAGCAATTTTCAAAACAGCCTGAAAGGAATATTTCCAGGAGTTTATAGAAACCAAATGACTTCAAGCAAGAAAGTATGAGTGTTTGCAGTTTTGGAGAAAGGAAAGTTAATTTCTGCAGAGTCAAAAGCATGCACTTGAAAAGAGGAGAAATTTACCATAAAGAGGATGTTCAGAAGAAAAATGGGAAGAATTTGGTATAAAGAGTGTCTCTGAGTCTGTTAAATAGTAATAATAGAGAGGAAATCAAAGCAACACAGCAGATGTATTTAGGCCACTTGTTTATTTATTTCCAGTAATGTTGAAAAGCAAAGAGCTGAAGCTCAGAGGGAGACTGAGGAGAAAGACAAGGAATAAAGCTGCCTATAAAAAGATTCTCAGAAAGTGAAGGCATCTGGTCAGCAGGTGTGAACTCCAGGCACTTCACCATGTCCTCACCCAGGGAATTATCTGAGGGACTGCGGGCTGAGGAAAAGCAGGATGAGAAAATGCAAAACTTGCAGAATGAGAGCAAAACAAAACAAAAAGGAGCATTGATGGGGGCAGAGAATAGGAGAAAATGTGACAAAGATGCTAGATAACGAAACAGAAGGGATCAGAAGATATACTTATACATAAAAACAACCCAGGGCAAAAACATAACATTAACCCAATACACTCATGCATACGTTTAACTTTTAAATGCTTAAATAATAACAGAGGTGAGCTAAATATTTTCCCTTGAATCTTTCATTTTGGAGGTAAAACATCCTTAAGGCCTTCGGAAATTATTTAACCCGCTTGGACTAAGGTTAACAAGTGACAGATCCGGTCTATAATATACTTCCCAAATTAATATGAACACAAGATGATTTAATGACTTCGATATGTCTATATGTTCAATATGTCTCCTAAAGAATGTGATATGGAAAACAAGCAACTTTATTTCTTTACATACCTGACAAGCTAAAAATGTGTTTAAAAGAAATCAAAAAAGCAGGGAGAGAACTTGGGGATATTATAGGGCTATCCATATATGTTGTTAAATGAAAAAGATGTTGTTTCAGAGTAATTAACAGTGATGATATGATGCTATTATGGTAAAAGGAAAAATTTTTTAAATCATACCTGGATATGCATTACCTGTGCTTAGATGGTATTTTTACTGAAGATGGAGAAAAGTAAGGTATAAAGAGCATATATAATAAGCTGTTACTGGGGGTGAACCACTTCTTTTATTTATGTCAATATGGTTTTACTTTTCAAAATAAGCATATATTAATTTTCTGATTTGAAAATCATCAAATAACAAAATTTGCAAAACATGAAACTTCCCTTCTGGGCTGCAATGCCTTACCTTAAAATTGACCTCCAGGGACTTCCCTGGTGGTGCACTGGTTAAGAATCCGCCTGCCAATGCAGGGGACACAGTTTGAGCCCTGGTCTGGGAAGATGCCACATGCCGCGGAGCAACTAAGCCCGTGCGCTACAACTACTGAGCCTGTGCCTAGAGCCCGCGAGCCACAGCTACTGAGCCCGTGTGCCACAGCTACTGAAGCCTGTGCACCTAGAGCCTGTGCTCCACAACAAGAGAAGCCGCCGCAACGAGAAGCCCGCGCATCGCAACGAAGAGTAGCCCCCGCTCACCGCAACTAGAGAAAGCCCATGTGCAGCAACGAAGACCCAATGCAGCCCCAAATTAAAAAAAACAAAAACAAAAAAAAACCAAACTGACCTTCAGTCCTACACAATTAAAGGGAAGAATTGCTCTTTTCTGTGGTAACCTTTCTGTTTCAAACCAGTATCTCCCACAGCTTGCCTGCTTAACATCAAGAGGCATCTCCACCACCCTGTCCACCTGTGATGTCACCCGGAAAAGATGGAAAACCTCTACACATCTCTTCAGGCCTAACCTTCAGGTAATACACAATAGTCCCATAGATTTTCTATGGCTACCGCTACATCTCAGAGCAAACTGTCACAGAGGATCATGTTTGCTTTCTCAAAAGGCCATTCTCTCTTCTTTGCATCTCCTGCAAAGGCATAATGCCCACGTCACACCGTTATGCTCATCCCAACAGCAACAACCCGAATCTCATAAATGGAAGATTATTAGAACCTTCGTCCAGAAACAAACAACTGGCCCTGGGTTCTGCAAAATCAGAGCCCTCTTCCAAAACCAGAATAAAGCCACTTCACAGACAAGAGAGCAAAGTGCATTTTTAGGAATTCCCTAAAAACTACTTTATTTCAATCGAAACTTTTTTGAAAAAATCCTTTAGGAAAGGACTCATTTTCCTTTTACTCTTTGGGACCTATGGGATCTTTTTAGGGAAGAATAATTTTCAATACGTTCATTCATGGATGATATACGGTACTTAACATACATAGTTGGAAAAAAAAGCAAGACTTATTCACTAATATACTTATTTGCCAAGCCAAAATACCTGCAACCCACAATTCATAGGATCTGTCAGACTGCATATTGTAGAACTTCCCTGGTGGTCCAGTGGTTAAGACACCATGCTTCTAATAATGCAGAGGGCATGGGTTTGATCCCTGGTCAGGGAAGTTCCACATGCCACGTGGCGTGGCCCAAAAATAAAAATAAAAAAAGAGAGAGAGGGAGAGAGAGCTGCATATTGTAGCTAACACTTTTTAAAAAGCCAAGATCAGATCTCCCTGACTGGTGCAACATCTGTAACAATAAAAGAGCCTTAGAACGTATGTTTTCAATAATGTACAAGATAAGAGAAAGACCTAGCTTGATTCTCTTGTAGACAATAGTAGAAAAAAGAGAGGCGGGTTATCAGTGATTATTAGCCATCCATGACTCAGAAGATGGACGGATGGATGGGAGAATGAACTCTTACCTTATGCATTTGATGCATGCCTTCCTGCGGGAAGTCAGCAGACCCCATCGATGGCATAGGGTGTGAGACACTTGGAGGCCCAGGACTTGGCCCCATCATACTGTGGACGGAACCTGGGGATGGTCCAGGTCCTGGACTGGGCCCAAGAATTGGTCCAGGAGAGGGTCCCGGCCCTGGCGAAGGCCCTGGGTGGGGCATCGCACCAGGGTCTGTGGGCGTGGACATCTACTTCTCCTGACTCTGCCAGTCAGTACAGTGATACTGAGTTGGAAAGAAGAGAAAGGAATGTTTTAAACATGATGTTAAGATCAGAATAAAACAGTTGTTAGTATTAGATGGTGCCATTTCCGTAACAAACATCAAACAGAACTGCCCTGTCTAGCCCGGATGTTTGAGAGAGTGTGATATATATCCATCTGCCCTAGTCTTTACGAAGACCTCTTATTTAAAATGATTCCCCGGAAAGATATAAATCATCTAAGATCCAAAAAAAGGCTCACTGGAGAAACTCAAATTTAAGACATAAGGAGAATTCTAAACAAGCTTAAAATTTATTACTGAAGTCAACAGATGCTCTTCATTACTTGGGCACCTTACAAGGCATTAACCCCCCAAAGCCATTAAAATATAAACCTCCTAAAGAAATACCCAACCAAGACCCACTTGCATAAGTCAATAAGCATTCAAACTTCACAGAATTCTAGAGAGTTAAAAGGGGGAGAAAGAACAATTTCATAAATTGAGGATGAAAGGGAATTGCCAATCACGGGAAAAGAAGAGGTTAATGGCAGTCAGACAAATATGCGTTCACACAGCCGCATATGCAATGACGCACTGAGACTAAAATGTGATGGTACGTGTAAAACCGTAGCTCTGTGCCTGGCACAACAAGCAGCCTCTCTTACTGAGCATTACTCCCCGGCCCTGCCACCTCCACTCCAGCAGAAACGAACAGAAGGGCAGGTTAAGATGTGGTCCTACCACCAGGTAATTAATTAAAGACCACGTGGACAGTGGAGGGCAGGGATTCATCCCAGGCCTCTCTGGGGTCCAAGACTCACACGAGACATCAACCATGACTCCTGGATCGGGGCCCACCAGGGACGTGGTATGAAAATTCCGGTTCTCCAGCAAAGCGGTATTCCATCACCCATGTGCCAAGACTTCTTGGCATCCCCACCGGGGAACTGCCTCATGCGGTGGGTACGACTGAATCTTGGATATCAGCCAAAATGAGTAAATAAGCTGTTTTTTGAATTTTGATGGAGATGAATGATCCCAGGGTAGTCATGGTGATATATTATGTCATCTGGGGGCACACACCTGTACACACAAAACCTCTTCTGATGCCGAACTCACAGAATCCTAAGTGGACTTGCTTACCCACTGGTTAGTGGCAGGGAAGAAATTAGACCATAGGGGCCCGGTCACCCACAGCAGGGCTCTTTCCATAGTGAAATGAGAGGTTAGAGGGAAAATTCAATGGAAAAAACAAAAAACCCACGTTACTTCATTCTTAGCTAACTACCTTCACCTCTCGCGGAATCTCTAGAATGTGAGGGGGCCGCGAGGGCGAGGTCTTGCCCTTCTTTGCTCCTGTATCCCCAGCACCTCCAACCAGCATGGAGTAAGGGCTCAGAAAAGATCTGAATGAAGTGTAGACAAAGTTGCAAGGGCAAACTATTAATAGAGTCAATTATTAAAAAATAAAAAAATTAAGAGAGCAATCAGGGTTTGAGGTATGTTCAAACAAAGAAATCTGAAAAGTGGAGGCAAGAATTTGGCCAATCTGATAAATGAATTAGGGCTAGAATAGGAAGGGATGAAAGGCTGCTTTGGAATGATTATAAGCAAGGGATCACTCAAACTGTTTTGCTGATACAAGATGGGACTAAGAGAACACAGTTCAAGTGACTTCTAAAACAACAGGGAAGCTTGGACAGTAAATTATAGCCTGAATCCACTAGAGAGCCAAATGTTATTATTTATTCTTTGTGATTAACAAAGCAGGCGGAAGCAACCTTTTTTTTTTTTTTTTTTTTTTTTTTTTTTCCCCCCCCCTCCCACTAGCTAGCTATTTTACATTTGGTAGTGTATGTATGTCCATGCCACTCTCTCACTTTGTCCCAGCTCACCCTTCCCCCTCACCGAGTCCTCAAGTCCATTGTCTGCATCTTTATTCCTGTCTTGCCCTCAGGTTCTTCATGAGTTTTTTTTTTTTTTTTTTTTTTTTGCATTCCACCCCCTCACATACACACACACCCACCCATGTTCAGTCAGCATTTTAAATTTAGGACGCTGACGTCAATTCAGGGGTACTTACAAGTTAAAATGTTCTTTCGAGTATATCAGCAAACTAATAAACCCCTTTATTTTTTAGTGAATAAAAGGAAATTGCTTACTTCCTGTTATGATTTACCTTGAAACTGGCTTCAATGGCTATGATGGCAAGATACCACAAGTTTGAACAATGAAGATACAAATGCTCAGTCAGCCTGGTAGTCCTACTTTTCATGTTTTATATTTTAATATCTATTATCCCAAAATACCAACGACTTTCTGCGCATATAATGACTTTCATCTGGGAGTCTCGTAGAATGTTGTAATTAATTGTATGCAGTCCCACAGAAACGCTCATCATTTTTTGTTATAGGAGACTACTAAAAACTTCTTAGGAGGAAAACATATGAGACAGGAAATGGAAGAATATGGGCATAAAGAAGAATGTTAATACAGGAACGTGTTATATAGGAAACTTTTTTCATAAGAAGAGAACCTTTAGGAGCATGCACTTAATGAATGTGTCCGTGAAACAGCATAGATGAATAAACAAGAAGCCAGCTCAGAGAAACAGCACAGTTTAACAAAGGAGCAAACTTGCCCCATCTCGCACAGATAAGGGATCTGGACTATCGCACAACTTGAATGTGACCCCCTGGCTTCTGACTGGGAGCCCAGAGACCTTGGGTTCTGCCCACCTCACGGCTGTCACCAGCCCCAGGGTTCCCGGGCAAAGCGTGCTTTCTTTTCTGGGGTTTCTCAGCTTCCTCTGGGCTTGGAATCGAAGCATCTCAAGGCTCCCTGCATCTGCCTATCCAGGACTTGCAGCATCTCCCGATTCCTCCAACCATATGTGTGGGCGCGCTCATCAGTGAACCTCCAGGGCAGGACCCGAGCTGTCCCAGGATTCACGCCACGGCACCATCACCCAAATGTACCAAAGAGGAGCACCTCTCAGAGACGAGGCCACAGTCCCGGCCTCCTATTCCTTCCTCTTCATTTCTGGTGGCAACTTCACGATGCAGCTCCAAGACACAATTAAACTTTCCCACAGCGTAAAGCAATTCGCGGGTGTAAATTACAAAGAGGCGCAAGTCTCAAGCAGAGGAGCAGGTCATTACTAAGTCCCTGCGGTTAAGGGTGAAAGTCCAGTATTGGCCAACTCAGCTTCCCCTCCCCCACCCTCCCGGTCTCCCTAGGAATCCAAACCCCTTTCTTTTTTCTTCCAGGCACCAATTAAGTGATGCAGATGGGGTGGGGACAGTGGGGACAGGCACAGGGCGGATGGGGGAGAGGCGATGGCTCCAGTAACCTTGAGAGGGCAGGAGTGCCAGGTCTCTCCGCAAGATAACACTGAAAATCTATTTTTATTTTGTGTTGGGGGGCGGGGCGGGTAAGTTTTACATTGTCACCAAAAAGAACGGCCTGTTCCATAATTACATGGCCAATATAAGGAAGAAAACGTGTCTGTGTGTAAGGAGGTTAGGCACACAGACCTCCCCATACCCCGGGCACTGCCAGGCCCCTCTCCTTCCCTCAACACTTCCCTCCACCTCACACCAGCACTCTCTGAGGGCCAGGCCACTGTGTTCTTAGCCAAGAATTTTTCAGCAGTACACCCTGTCTTTTTTCGTCCTGACCCTGCCTTTACAACCGGGGAGTGTGCGCTTTTTAAAAATAAAAGTCGTTGGAGCTTCCCACAACTCCAACCACTGTAGACATCCTCCCTCAGCCCGAATTCCCTTCCTCTCCCCTTTGCAGAAAGCCCCAGCACACCCATCTGCATATTAAAAGGAGTTCAACTTCATGGAATTTTAAGGGTCACCAGTCCAACCATGACAACCAGGACAGAACGTCTACCGTCCTGTCTCGCTCCAATCAGTTGAAAGATCCCCACACTTGCATTAATACTTCAACACAACCCCATGTGCTTCAGAATCATTTCAGGGACTTGACTTGAGGACACACTTGGCCACGTCCCCATTTAAAAGAGGAGGGCAGGAAGGGACCACAGACCTTGCCCAAAGTCACATCTGTGAGTAGAGCTTTTTATCTCTTGACTCCTGGCCCAATACCCAGTCACGGCACCATCAGGCAAGCCAGGCCATCCACCAGTGTGGAGAGCTGTCACTCAGGCTGAGCAATGATGCACAGGAGTGCGAAGCGGAGGATGCAGAAGCAAAGATGGAAACAATGGGAGATGTCGCGAGGATTGGGATTTGGCTGTGATCCTATGTTAATGTACGAAGGGAAAGAGAAGTGAAGAAAAGCCCTCGAGAGAATATGAGACAGAGACAATGTTATGAACTTAAGAGGTCGGTGATGTTTAATCAAAGATCCAGAGGACCTGTTTTACTCATCTATTCCCAACTGTCCTGGCTCTCCCCTGGGCACAAGGCATGGAGGATGTACAAAAATGACCAGAGGGCTTACCCAGGGCTCTGCAAGTCTGACAGGAAAACAGGACTTATCCATATATAGCAGTGAGGAAAAAAAAAAAAAAAAAAAAAAA